GTGTGTGTGTTTTGTGTGTGTGTGTGTGTGTGTGTGTGTTTCTGAGAAAAGGGTTCATAACTTTTTCTAAGAGGTCTACAATTCCAAAGAAGAATCATTTACAGCAGAGGAAAATTGTATTCCTGTCACCCATGTTCTACCTAACTATCCCAGTTCTTCAGAAGTATAACCCCCTTTTCAAAGAAGGAAGATTCTTATTGTTTTGAAGGACTTTTTATCATGTGTTCTGCCAGTTTATGCTCAGAAAGGTTCACCAAGCTAAGCTAATTAAATCATTATCCAGGCACAGAATGCAGTGTCTTTCGTCATTGGATTGGATTTCCCCACTCCCTGCCATTAACTGTTCACTCAGTGCATCATGTGTGTCAGACCAGACAGTCTGAAACAAATGCAGACTAGAGCCCCAAGGCCTTGGCAGGGAAATAAACTAACTGTGGAAGCACGGAACAGAGAGCAGACCATTTCTGAATTATTTCGGGGGAGCAGTTGTCTCACTGAACCAAAACATGCTTTTCTCAGTTGAAGCAGCAGAAACCACAGAACACAAGTTATGTTGGTGGAACTCATGAGACTTTTAATTCTTATTTTATTAATGTTTTACAGTAAGTGTGGGGAATAAAGACAGGGATGGAGTAAGGGAAAGGAAGAAAAGTATCTTTCAAGTTCCTTGAACTATGGAAGCACGTGCTAGGATAAGAAAGTTCAGTAAAAGCTTCACGTCCTTATCTTAATGCAGACGTGTGATAGAGACATGGCAACTCTTTAGCTCTGGTGAAGTGACTGCTGGCAGAGAACAAACCCTGCATCGAACTCGGCACACGTGGAATGCAGCTGCTACACAGTTGGGCAGATGAAAAGTTGAGGCTCCAAAATCTACTTCCTAGCATGTGAGTAGGAGCCTGTGCGCCCCTCCTCTGGTCTGGGTGTCTCTTCCTCTCCAGCAGGGGAGAGACCACCAACGATGCAGCAGTGGGAAAACTGCTGGGCAAGACTCTCTTAGAAAAGAGATTTATTTATTTATTTATTTATTTGCTGGTGGTGTTGATTGACCAGAAGTGACTTCTTTTGCTTTGGGGCAGTAGCATTGTGTCCTGCTGATAACATAATCTACACTTAGCACTTTTAAAAAGGCAGAGGAGAGTGAAAACAAGGCCTTTTAGGACCTAGACTAGTAGGAAGGGGAATATATGGATTCAAAAGCTAAGGGCATGAAACAACTAACTCTATATCACCACAAACAAACTGACACAGATAAATGAGACCTTCACTTTTTCCATTCATACAAATACTCACCTCTTCTAGCTTATGTTACTAAATCTAAGGTCAGCTTAATCACAGCTTATGGTAACTATTACTGTGTTTCTAACATTAAGGTGAAAAGCTACATTCTTAATCAAGTAGGGTTTTTTTTTTTCCTCCTAATTAAATGGGTTTGTTAAGCTGAAAAGCCTAAAATCTACAAAGTTTTCATTATTTTGTAACTATTACTGTGTTTCTAACATTAAGGTGAAAAGCTACATTCTTAATCAAGTAGGGTTTTTTTTTCCCTCCTAATTAAATGGGTTTGTTAAGCTGAAAAGCCTAAAATCTACAAAGTTTTCATTATTTTATTTATTGGAGGCAACCCTTAACATTTATCACTGCCATTTTAATTTTAACCTACAGAATTGGAAGGATAGGAAATGGGCAGGGTGAAGTCATTACATGAATCACAGAAATGGTCAACATGCATCGTATTTTACCCATTCCGCAAAGAGAGCTAAAGGGGGTACGTTCTTTTGAGAAAAACCTAAATGGAATTGAGGTGGGTGGGAGGAAAAGTGTCCATCAAACAAACACCTATCATTTGTGAAACGGTTCTATTAGGGTGGTGGGGTGTGGACCATTAGTTTATCTTTGGCAGTGATCTTATATTTTAGGTATCTAGAGTGAGACGATATAGCTGGGCAATGGTTAGTTATAATGAGTGACATAGGTTTTAATTTTAAATCACAGCAAAAGATGATGATCACAGATTTAGCACCTTAGTTTGTACTTCCTCTGTACCTGAATCATCTATCACTGTAAAGCCTGAGCTTTAGGTGAGAAAGCTGTGTTCTTAGATAACTCCTCTGTGATGGCTGTAGGGCCGCGGTTTGCTCCAATCTAAGAGGTGGGTTCCTTATTAGAGAATGTAGGTATTCAATGCTAACTATGAGACGGAAGTCTTGAAGACATTTTATAGTGATGACAGGTGTTTTGGTTCAGGAATAGGCTGTTAACAAGTCAAATGCATATTATCCCCTCTTAAGCATTAACTCTTTTTAAGCAACAGAATTATATTTTTTGGCTTGAAATGGTGCTTTCTTCTATATTTGATTTCTCGGTTTTCTTAGTAGATATTACGGTCTCCTCCAGTATTTCTTCAAAACTTTCCCCTATCTGGGAGGTTTTCTTAGAGGTGACCTTAGAAGCCTCCTCCTCCTCACCCTCTTCCTCTTTCTTAAGAGACAGGCCAGTGGATGAGACTTTGGAGGTAGTAGAACTGAGGATTCTAGGCGGGAGCAGATAACCTGGATTGGGAAGTGGATTTAGCCCTAAAATGCTTGACCCACTGGTGCTAAAACGTGTCTCTTCGCCTTCCAGCAATTTCCTGTAAATGAAACAGAGAGAAAAAAAATCTCAGGAGGCTAACTTGCAACTTTAAAAAACAAACAAAACTTAACCCTGCAGGTCATACTTACATTAGAAAAATTCTAAAAGAAAAAGGAAAGAAAAATTCTATAAGATTTTGTGGTTTATTCATGAGATTGAGACCAATAGATATTGAACTCCAAGTCTCAAAGACTTGAGGTTATCTATCACATGCATGCACGCACACATGCACACACATCTTCCACACCCGCTGTGTTTACAGCACTGTCAAAGGGTAACCTAGCCTATTCACTAACATATTAACAAAGGGAAAACTTACAGTTCCCCTTGGCCTCATCACACCTATTTTTGGCACTTAGAGTCTACAAAGCTCTCTAGAGAAAAGTAATTTTGTTAATTAACACCATAAGTGCAATAGGAATAAGGAGGGGAGAAGTCCACAGAGGAGGAAAGAACTGCCTAATTCAGCCTGAACTTGAGATCTGTACTTTTTCAATGTGCAGGAGTACAAATGGAGTGGAACCAGGAACATCAAAGACCAGTGAATGAACCTGTTTCAGATCCCAGATTTTTCTCAGGCCAGCCTAAATGGCATCACAAAAGAGTGGCCCCAAAACCTTGTTTTTCGTAACTAATAGTTTTTATTATCCTTTCTTTAAAATCAGTGCTATCTTTCCTCATCCTCTCACCCATAAGAAACTGGAAAGACTAGAACCACTTATTTGGGTAATGCTGCCCCAGGTGACTGCATTTGCTCGGAGCGTGCCCTTTGATGTACCTGTAAGCTGCTATCTCAATGTCAAGAGCCATTTTGACATTGAGCAAGTCCTGGTATTCCCGAAGGTGGCGTGCCATCTCACTCTTGGTGTTCCGCAGATCATTCTCCAGTTGCCCAATGCTGTCCTGAAAAGTGACATAGCCGACATATTTAGGTCAAAACCAGCAGAAATTCATTGAGAGTCCCACAAGTCAAAGACTCTCAAGTGTGACTACACATTAAAATATCCAGAACTCTCTCCTCCCCATGCCCAGCCTAGATTGTGATTCATTTGTTCAGGGGTGTCACCTCCATTTTTTTACCATGCATCCAAATCTCCCCATGGTTCTCAACTGAACACTAAGGATATATATGGGAGAGAGAAAGAGAAAAATTGATGTAAGAGAGAAACATTAATTGGTTGCCTCCTGTATGCCCCTAACCAGGGATTGAATCTACAACCTTTTTTGGTCTAGGGGAGGATGCTCCAACCAACTTTACCACTGGCCAGGTAGGAGATATTTTCTTTTTTAAAATCTGCTTACCATCCCTCCCTTGCTTGTTGTACTTGCTGCTAACTAATTCACTAACTCATTTGTTGGATGTCCTTTCCATAACCCACAGCCTCAGGTTAGTAGTAGATTCAGAAAATTCCCCTTTGGAAAGCACAGAGAGGACAGCGGGTCTTTTCTGCCTCCATTCGTTTTGCTGGCTTCCTGGAGGTCTGCCTCTCAATCACTTCACTGAAAGCACTTCATGCAACAAATACGGAGGAAGCAGAAATACTCCATGGAATTTTTTTTTATCCACACGGCAGACTGAAATGATAATTTTTTTTTTAAAAAGAAACTTCTCTATGTCATAGTTTTGCTCCAAATTCTTCCAGGTGCAAACCCAGGCATAGAAGAAAAATAGCTTTACATCTGTGATTCTGGAGCAGCCAGAAGGACCTTTTGAAAACAGGTCCTATTTACCTGCTCAAAATCCTCCAACGCCTGTGGAATAAAGTCCCAACTCCTTTATGGCTTGAAATGGGCAATACACTCAACATGGCTTATACACTCCTCCTTACTCAGTGTGTTTCAGCTACCCTGGCCTTCTCTTTTGCTCCCTAGACTTAGCAAGATGCTGTCCCAGGCCCTTAGGCTATTTCCTCTGTTTGGAGTACTCTGGAGTGGGTCTTTACATGGCCCACTCCATGTCATCCAAGACTCAGTATAAATGTCCTCTACTCAGTCTTTCTGGCTTCCAACTTAAGTACTCTCTCCACACTTACCTCACACATTATCTTACCTCTAGCCAGGGCAGCTGTTAACCCATGAAAGAACACTGTGCAAATGAGAAAAAGATACCTCCAGTGGGAGGACAAATTTTTAAAAAGCACCCTGGATGGTATTGTTCAGTGGTTAGAGTGTTGACCTGTGCAGGATCCATCCCTGGCCCTGGTTGGGACATATGTGGGAGGCAACTATGGGTTATGATAATGATCAATAATTTTTTTTTATAATTCTGTGATGTCTTTTATCTTTTAGGTCAACTGAGGTATACCAGACTGCTTACTCTATCCTAAATGACCCCAAAGAGCAGTGTTTGAATTAGTGTTTTCTTTGTTGGTTACTCATTGGTTTTCTTTGTTCTGAAAGAACTAATTTGCTGCTATTTCTCCTTGAAATGCCTGACTCCTGTAGTCCCTTCTCCTTCTCTATCATGCTGCAGGCTCGAAATCCAAACAAAGTGCTCTAGAATCATGTCAAGTAAGAATGAATAGACTGAGGGCATCAGAGGGGTCAACTTCCTAATATATGATTTAGAAATAGATATTTTTTGACTCATTAGCAGGTCCTTTTTTTATAAAAAGGTTTTGTTTCACAGTTGTGTTTTCTGAAAAAGAGGTTATTAGGGAGTTGAGTTCTAGATAGATGAGATTTCCTTGAACTTCTTTTTGTTGCACATTCCACATGTCTATTTCATGGATCGGAGTAGATAAAAAGCACCACTTTGCACCTTTCAGAAGGAATTGTGCTGCCGGCTGATCATTGCTAGTCAAGGTCTCCTCTCTTTGTTTGTGCTCTTTGTTTCCCTACACCAGGCTGTCTTGCCTCGCCCTTCAAAAGCTCTGCCAAAGATGGCTTCCTGCTCACGAAATCGGAGCAGAGCACTGCAGTCTACCCCTCCCCCAACCACACAGCTGCTGCTGGCTTAGCCTGGGGGAATGGGACAGAGGCACTTCCAGCTCCAGCTGGGGTCTCTCCTGGGAACGATAAAGCAGGTGCTGAGCATCTTCCTCAGGGCTGGAAGGATATGGACTGGGAGGAAGAGAAAGAATTGGCTACACTAGCATCTTCAGTGAAGAGGAATGACAAACAGTGCTACAAATTTCACCACTTTTAGGGGCCCTCAGCCAGACAACAGTAGTGAATGCAGCCATCCAGAATGACTACTATGCATAATAAATTTAGGTGGGGAGAAAGGATTTTTATATGTGATCCACCCATGTGCCTTGTTCTCCCTCCTGCCTTTGTTTTATCCCCACATTTTTCTTTTTTTCCCCTACCATACTTTAAAATCTTGCATTATATGAGCTGGGAAATGTGCCTTAGGTTCTTGCACCCCAAAATCTATCTGAAGAACATCAGGATGCAGCATTTTTATTGAAAAACACTTATTCTTGGCCACACCTACTCAAACTACTGAATCCATATCATCAGGAGTGAGCTTAAGGATCTTTTTTCTTTTAAGCCCTCTAGTGACCTTGGTATGTCAATGGGTTTAGGAAGCACTAATTTCTATTTATTTTTGTAAAGGAGCTATCATGGTGGCCCCAGTAATACAGTAGGGTAGAGAGGGGCAAGAACAAAACAAAACAAAGCATATGGAAGAGTTCAAGACTAAATAAATGCAGCTTTTTTTCTTGAATTCAGGAATTGATCTATCAGGCTATAGATTTATGTGCAGGCACTGCCACCCCAAATCTCTAAGGGACCGGCCCCTTCCTGCTATTTAATTAGGCTATATTCCAGTCTCATACTGGAGAGAAGAGGGCAGATTTGGCTGCTCTCCCTGGAGAGCATTAAATAATGGTGATCGTGATTGTTCAGCAAGGTCTTTCAAGGAAAGCTTTAGCTTTCCAAGACTGACCATAGTACAGGGCCAGGGGGCCCAGTACCCTTCAAAAATGTCCGCAGATACCTTTGGAAGAATGGGGGCTCTCATGGTAGTGAAGCAGCCATGCAGGAACCCGAACTGCCCTGTTTTAGAAATGAAGAAGTCTTCAGCTAAAGAGGGTGATTGCATTTGGCTTTTGATGACAAAAGCCATAGCTCTTTATCATTTCTCCTGTTGCCTGATTTGGATCTCTCATGCACCACTGTGTACTTACTATGTCACCTTGAATCATTCTTTATCTGTTCAACATGTAATAAGCTTTCTCTCCTCAAATAGGCTGTCAGATCTCTGGGGCAGGGAAAGCAGGATTTTAATGGAGCCGTCCTCTGCCTCTAGTAGGGTGGCAAGCGTCAAAGGAAAAGGGGCCTACTACTAATCGTTGAAGCAGAAGAAAGAGAACAGCCTCCCAGACTGCAGTGAATGGGGCGGGGGAAAGGGGTGAGAGGGCAAGAGAACAATGGCTGACTCTCACTGTGGAGAAGGAAGCTTTTCATCTTCATCAGCATCAGCTTGTCAGATCAGCCAGAGGACACCCCTGTGTCTTCAAGCCTTCAGGTTCTGCAGGTGAAGATGTGAGCCCCTCTTTAGCCTTAGGGCCCAAGGGGTAGGAAATAGCTTTCTGCCTCTGATCTCTTCCACTCCATCAGCATGTCTACTGAGGCACTGAAAGCAAAAGTTGATGGGGGTCAGCACTGCAGAGCTGCGGACATGCGCAGTTTCCGTGTTTTATTCTCTCCTGAAGAGTTATGTCTACATGACCCTACTATTGTCTAACACTGGAAGCCTTTTAATGCAAACAAAACAAGCCAGACCATATTGTCATACCCCTTAGAATGCAGGAGCTGTAACAAGCAAGTAGAGGACTGGCAAAGCCCAATTCAGATGGCAGTTGTGGGTAAGTTATCCTTTTTGTAGAAATATTGGGCTAGCCCTTAGGAGATCACCTAGCTCATCTTTTGAGGCTTCTAGAAGAAAACACGAAACTTCAATGAACTAAATGTGACTAATCCAGACCTTCCAGGGACTAGGCCACATAGTGAAAAGTTCAAGTTACAGATCTTGAAGTAGAATAGAAATCTTCACTGGAATAGTACTGTAATTGCAAACTAACAAGAACAAATGGTCCAAGCAAGCTTTCTTCCTTTATCAAAGAAAGTAATTTATACTGAACAACAAATATCTGCACACCAATTCTTTATCTCCAGACTAAAATCATACGTTTGAGGTTTTGAACAACAAATATCTGCACACCAATAATTATTCTTTATCTCCAGACTAAAATCATACGTTTGAGGTTTCACTCCTTTCTTGTATGTATTTTATTAATGTTCCCTAAACCCTATTATTTTAATCAAATGTAAACTTTGATCTTGGCTAGAATGAATTATTTCAAGTTTCTGAATTATTAGCTTCTACCCCACAGAGCTTTTATTGTACCTTGAATCTGAACCACACTATTTAGGTTATTTTCTAGACCTTTCTCCTGCCTCTGTGCCCTTGTGGTGATAAGCCCAGAATGTTTTATATAGAAAAACTGAAGATGCAGTGGTCTTTGTTTGGAGGAAAAGGTAAGAAAAGAGCCAATCATAGGAGCTTAGAGGACAGGCAAAGATGAAAAATAAGTGGCCTATAACAAAGATAGAACCGATCTCTTTGATTAATCACATTCACTTAGATTGGGAAACTGTTAAGAAAAAGGGCATTTTCAAGTGGGACCTCACTGTTCCTGAGCAGATTAAGTGGTTTTTATTAAGTGCTAAGCCATCCATGAAAGTGACTATTGATGCTTTCCACGGGGTGACCTTTGATTGCAGGTAGCCAAGACTGATGTGTTGGTGTTGCAAAAGAAAAAGAAAATCTAAGCAGTTAATTGCCTACAGAGTCATAACTGGGACATGCGACAGGGGAGACATTTCTGAGATGGGAAGGATTCGAGATCAGCACCGAGGACAGCGCCCCAACCATTTGCATTGGCTAACTGGTGTAAAGCTTTCTTTAAGAAGAAATACCAATCGGTAGACAAGGGAATCGTGTGTGTGTGCGTGTGTGTGTGTGTGTGTGTGTGTGTGGTGTGTTCTGTGTATATGTGTGTTGGGGGGAGGGTAGAGCAAGAACAGGGCGGTTACATTAGCCTGACCACCCATCTAGTTGGTTCCCAATCTCTACTCCTTTGAGGATAAAAGTCAAGAAAATGGAGTAGAACCATTTCCAGTCCAGTCCAGCATTCCTCCCCCAACCCTAGGGCAGACCATACTCTATAAATATCTATTCCAGGGCGCACAGAAAACCTTTCAAAGTCAACAAAAGACGGCAAAGAGCCAAGAGCACCGCCAACCACGGAGCAGGTGTAACCCACCTCCGTTTGGGTGGGGAACTGTTCTTCAAGTCTTACGTGTGTTTATTCCCACTTGCTGACTGGGAGGCATAAGTTAGATTTTCGAAATCTGAAGAAGAGAAGCTAAGGGCTTCTTTGTGAGAAGGGTCCGAGAAGGTATGTGAGGGGCAGGAGAAGAGGGCGTCCAGGCCCCTACAATGATCAGTGGAGAGCCCAGAGCTTTTTGTTTGCCAAGGCCTCTAGTCTAGGCTCTTTCCTCCCTCCCCCTCCTCTCGGTTCCTTGGGCCACCATTGTGCGGGGAAATCGCAGGTATGCACAGGAGGGGACAGGGCGCCCCTCCCTCTCGAGCGCTTCAGCCCTTACCTGGTAGCTGGCCACTTCGGCACTGTGTCTCTCCTCCAGCTCCAGGATCTGCCTTTCCAGGGACTCATTGGCTCCGCGAAGGCCCTCGATCTCAATGGTGCGCGCCTGCAGCTGGCGCCGGTACTCGTGGATCTCCTCGCGGCTGGCCCGGATGGCCTCGGTGCTGCGCGCCGCCTGCTCGTTCAGGTTGGCGAACTTGGACTTGTACCACTCCTCGGCGGACTGCAGGTTTTTGGCAGCCAGGGACTCATACTGGGCGCGGATCTCCCTCAGCGCCGAACTCAGGTCTGGTTTAGCTACGGCCACATCCACCTCGGCCGCAGCCTGCGACGATGCCTGCAGCGTGGCCAGCAGCTCGGCCACCTCCTCGTCGTGCACCTGGCGCACGAAGGCCAGCTCATCCAGGAGCGACTCCACCTTCTTCTCCAGGTCCAGGCGGGCCAACGTGGCGCCGTCCACGTCGCGCTGCTGCGCCTTCAGG